GACTAGTAAAAGCTATATTCAAGGACAGGCTGACCACACCATGCTTTACAAACACTCGAAAAGTGGAAAATGTTACACTCTCATTGTCTACGTGGACGATATAATATTAACAATGGATGATTCAAGCGAAATTAAAAGGCTAAAAGAGTTTCTTAGTGTTGAATTCGAACTTAAGGCCTTGAGGAATCTTAGATACTTTCTTGGAATAGAGGTAGCAAGGTCTAAGGCAGGTATTTCCATCTCCCAAAGAAAGTATGTTTTCGATCTGCTTTCTGAAGTTGGTTTGTTGGGCTGCAAACCAGCCGAAACTCCTATGGAATTCAATCTTAAATTGGGAACTGATAAAGATGGAGAAGATATCGACAGGGGGAGATCAACAACTAGTAGGGAGACTTATCTACCTATTTCACACTCGTCCATACATAGCTTTCGGTGTGAGTGTTATCAGCCAATACATGCATGCTCCAAGGGAGAAACATCTGGAAGCTGCGTAAAGGATATTTAGGTATCTCAAAGGGATTCCGGGTAAAGGCCTCCACTTCAAAAAAACTGCCAACCGAAGTGTAGAAGCATATGTTGATACAGACTGGACAGGTGCTGTTAACGACAGACGTTCTACAAGTGGTTACTGTAGCTATGTTTAGGGTAATCTCGTAACATGGAGAAGTAAAAAAATAGTCTGTTGTAGCACGCAACAGTGCAGAGGCAGAGTATCGAGCACCATCCCATGGTATATGCGAAGGATTCTGGATACAATAACTGCTGGAGAACTAAAAGTGTCCTATACCAGACCTATAAAAATGCATTGTGACAACCAGGCAGTTGTCGGCATAGCACATAATCTTGTTCACCACGATCGCACCAAACATGTGGAAATTGATCGCCACTTCATCAAAGAAAAAATTAACCCGGGAGAGGTTTTTGTTACCTACCTACGAGACAACAAGTTGCAGACTTGTTGACCAAAAGCTTGAGCAGAAACATGTTTGAAGAAATTATTGGCAAGTTAGGCTTAATAAATATCTACACTCCAGCTCGAGGGGGGTGTTGGAATTCCTAAAATTAAGGATAAATTATTTACCTTATTCCTAGGAGTTCCATTGTACAATAGGATCTAATCTTAGTCTCTAATTCTTAGGGAGTTACTGATTTTTAGGGATTGTTTCCTTATTTATACTTAGACTACTCTATAAAGGCTGTAAACTATTTAGTAAAAAATAACAACCTACTTTCTAAGGTTGTTCAAGGTCATGGATAAATGTTTGTAATTGAGAACCATCAAGATGGGAGATATAAAATTAAGAATACCTGTAAGCATTCATTCTGAATGCAAACACTAGTTTTCGGAACCAACTCCATTCTTGAGGCGAAAACCTTTCATCATTGATAGCTCCCCTACGAACATTAGAACAAGAGAGATCATTCAAAAGCTTGATATTATCAAAAACATTTTAAGATAATTTGATTCAGTATCCTTATAATCATAAGAACAGTACAAAACATTATTTTCCATGTCCCCAGAAGGAATAAACCGAAAGAACTTTAAATTTGAACTTACAAGACATTAGTTGATCTTGCAATCTCCCGAATTCTCGCCAGGATCCTCTTCAGAAACCTCAATGTCATTGGAGAGCCCTGAAAAATAATCTTCATCCGCATCGTCCCCATTACTTTCAAGATCAGCTCTACTATACCTCCTTTCAACATATTCAAACATTTGTCACCTCTGTAGGCGGAAAACATGCATTATAACATTAGGGGAAAGTGTGACAGGTGACTGATCTTCTCTACTCTGTCTATTGGACTCCATGATCTGTAAATAGAGAATATAAGTACGAAAAAATAGGCATTCGTTAATCATCTCATTAACTATCAAATATGAGATGATACCTTCTTCAAGTTGTTAGGCAGTGCAGATACATCACAGGCTGTAGGAGCCCAGAGCTTCACATTTTTATCAATTCCACAAGTAGCAAAAAAGGCATACATGAATGAGGCTCCAGATGATTTACTACATTTCGAACACCTAACATTACTCGAACAAGCTTGGTGTTCTTCTTCCAAATAAATATATGCCCACAATCAGAACCGCCCATCACATATTCATCTTTGGGGCCAAAAAAACCCACTCCTTTGACTGTCAGTGAATTTTTGTGACCCACATAAACTTGTTGCTCCTTATCTCTGTGCTGAGTTCCAGATTCAAGGGATAACGGAGAAGGCCCGACCCCCTTGTTCTTTTGGAATAAGTAAATCAACTCATCATTGTAAGAAACAAGTAGTTCACTTGTGTTAGAATAAGCTAACCCTGTAATATGAATATGGTTGGAGTGAAGCAGATGACGAAGGCAAAATACGTTCACTGGTGTTTCTGAAACATTAGATGCTTCCGGTGGATATTTTCTGATATCACAGACGCGCGCATATTCATCAGAACCTCCTATAGCAAAGTAATTCAGATTCCTTGGATCAATTACGATGGCATTTAACCTCATGTTTAAAGGTTACCTATCAGCTTCTTAGAATGAGAAGCAGTGAAATAGCTTTGAAGTAGAACCACACCACAGATCAAACTGCAACACAAAATAGCAAGAATAACAAAATCTAAAAAAAATGAAGCCAAATTTAAGTTTCAATTTCAATTAAATTAACTAACATGTTGAACTAAGCCATCTTCACCACAACTAAAGAATATGTGTGGACTTCCGGGCTCAATAGCAAGGTTGTACACCCGACCTTGGTGCTTTCCCAATCTTCTCGTTTTAACATGACCATTCTCCGAAATTTCTCCAAGCCTCATCTGAAACAAGAGGAAAACTTTTATACGGACAATCTCATAACTACATTCTTCGTTTAAATTTTTTTTTCTGAATGAGCAACAATAACCTATTACTAGCATCTACATATTACTTCGGGCCTTCATTTTTCTTTTAGTATACACATCTAACACCCGTGTTAGACACAATTCCAAAATGAGCATGGGATATCATACTTGATGAACCGATTTTTTTTAAAATTGAAGATACTTGTGTCGAACGCATAACCATATTTGAACTCCACCTAACCCGGTAACATAAACTAGCATCGAGGATCAAAGCAAGGATAAACAGAAGCAATGAACTTCACTACCTGGCCATCAGCAGCAGAAGTGATTAATCTCTTATCATCAGTGAAGGGCATAAATTTTGCCTGAAATATGTTGTCCAAGTGGCCGGAAAGATACGAAGACGTTTTGCTTTTAGCAGCCCAGTTCCAGAACAAAACATGTTTGTCATCAGAACCAGACACCAGGATGTAACCAGTGGAGTTGAATTTTGTTCACACATTCCTCATAGCCTTTCAGTTTCCCATAAAGGTCTATTTTTTCCACTATAGCCTGTACCAAAACATACAAAAACAACCAAAAACAACTGAATCTTAATTACACCCAGAATTCTAGATCAAATTTGAGTTCATACTGTAAAACAAATCAAAACCCATTTTGTATGGAATTCCATCCAACATAGACCATCAAATAAATACCCAGAATTTTCTAATTTTTCTAGAGATGACTCCTTCTCATAGTCCATTTGATACAGTGATCAAAGTATTTGAACAGAATGGGAAAAAGAGAAAGAGGCAGAAGAATAAGCTGTGAAATCAGCGAAGCAAAGAGATGACGAGCAGAGCTTTTAGGGGTGCAAAGACCCATTTCGCGGTTGATGATCTCTTCAAAAGCATGTTTGATTCTCTTCAAACTTGTCGCCTCCATGTTTCAATTCTTCAATGATGAATCGTTTTCACGCTCTACAGTTCATTTTAGTTACGGTTCTTGCTCGGTGGTGTGGCTTACGAATTGTGCACCCTTGTGTAGAAAGCGCGACGAGGGTCGGGCCAAAACCCGATTCTAAAGTTTTATTAAATCAAGACCCATCAAAATTCAAATTCAATACCTATTTTTATGTCAGAACCCACCAAAAAATTGTGTGGACTGGGCTCAATACGGGTTGATTTTGGATGAAAAATAGAAATTAAATAACATGTTCAACAAGAATTACTATTATTATTTTAAATAATTTATTTTTTTTAATTAGACTCATATGGCCCGTTTAGATCAAAGATTTTAGGATTTCTGACGGGTATATTTTTTTTTTGATAAGGATACCATTTGATTGATTAAATATTTCTTTCCCAACAATAAATACAACACATTTATTTCTGGGAATGTTATTCACACACACATATTAGGTATTCTTTTATTCCCGTATGGGCTAAAATACCATTCTTTTCCCGTTTGCCTCTGTGATATTTTCTTCTCCCCTTAGTTTGTCTCTGCGAAAAATTATCGTTCTCCTGGTAAACTTTCTTCTCTCCCTTTCTTATCTTCTCCCTTTCTTTACAATTTTTTACTTGTTTAATTTTTCAGAAAATTGATTTCGGGTAAGGGTTTATCTTAATCTAGTATTTTTTGGTCGAACCCATTTTTTCAGAAAAATGCTGTCGGGTTAGGGTTCTTAAGGTTTTGGTTGTTTTTTGATTGGAAATTAGTGTAGTCGATTTAAGTTAACCTCGATCGATAGTTTCCTTATAGTTGTTGTTTTGCTTGGATCCATTCGGCCATTTTTTCATAATCTAGTACTGTTTGGTCGAACTCATTTTTTATTGGAAAAATAGTTATAGTTGTTGTTTCACTTGGATCGATTCTGTCAGAATTTGTTGCAACACTTCTCATTTGGATTTTGTTCTTCTTCTTTATATGCATAAATTCAGCTTGCGTTCGATGGTCGGACTACGAAACTAGTAGTAATCGGGATATCATGAGGGTAAAACGATTCTATTGTAGGACAGCTATTTGATTCTAAATGGAACTAGAACGATTCTGAACCTTAGCAACGATGTAAGCGTACATAGGGTTGATTTTATTTTTGGAAAAATAAAATCTTTATATTTAAATAAAAATAAATAACTATTGAATTGAAATAAAATAAAATATTTTAGTTAAAGGTTTCCATTAGAAATTGATGAAGGGAATTGTTGAAGCAGTATCCCTTTTGGAGGAAGACCTTGATGAAAGATTGCTTATTAACATCTGTTATAGCCCAAGGAGGTATTTTATAAGAACTAGACCTGTAGTCATTATTTGTTATTGTTGTTTAACGTTCCCCAGTTTTTAAAGTTCAGTTTTAATTTTGATCTGAAAATTACATGTTTTTGGTAGATGGACATGTCGAAGTTGTACACTGTCATCGAATATTTCATCAAGCAGCTTATGGCCTTGTGACTTCAGAATGGGAATGGTCTTAACTTCTCTTCAAACTTTTAAGTGCTTATACCACTTTGATCTCAGGTAACCTGTATTACCTATTAATTTTTATCTTAATCAAATCTGTAACGTCACAGACCTCTATTATTTGGTTTGAGAATACCGGTTAAAATTGTCCTTGTGTACAAGTGAAGTTCACTCTTCTTTCTTAGCGTCTATTTTTTGCCTGCATTAGGCTACCGTATGACAAGGCTTAATTTGCAACTTGGTTTCTCTTTTCACATTGTTGGTTCTCCACATACATATGTTGGCATTTTCCTACCTCCTATTTTAGCATCAAAAGAATGTGTAGTCGTTTTTTATTAACTATGGTATATGTTACCCAGGCTGCATATATATCAAGATAAAGCATCAAAACCTGAGAAATTTGTTGATGTTCTCTGTAATGAAATTTCAAATTATGTTCAAGAGCTGCGAGGTGCAAAAGCCATGATCGATGGGAACCTTGTGAGAATTAATCTAATCAACCTTTTGAATCTCAGAGCATCTTATTCATTATTAATCTTCTATGATTATGAAATAATATCTATTCCTTCTTAATAAATCCCTCATCTTTCTACTGATAATTGCTCTGATCTTTTTATATTTAGGTTGTTAATGATGAAACTTGCACAACAGACGGTTTGCATAAAGTTGAGTTGCTTTTACCATTCATGAAGGATATGTACATCGGAGGTTCTCTGGCCATTTCAATTTTGAACTCAATTATATTTCCATGTTTGTTATAATGTTAAATCTAAGATTTAATAATTTGCTTAAACTTTGTGAAGCATGCAGCCAGAAAGATGTTGTAGGTATTGTCAATTTTACTGGTTTTGTATGTTCCTTTTCATTCTTGAATTCAAAGGAACCAATTTCATAGGCTGTTGCTGATATAAAGGTAATCATTTCTTGATTTGGATAACAACTTGGTCTTTTTTTTAATATATATACTAGAGAAGCGTTGGGATGTAAATTTTCATCCTAAGAAATAAATGTTTAATCTTTATGTAAGATAACAACGAGCAAGTTAGATATGTTTCAAATGTTTATCTGACTGATTGTGATTAGAATATAAATTTTGGAAAATATATGAAATTATTTGATTTAGTTGAGTTGATGTTGACAAATTCAGTACAAATGTATGCACCGAGACTCTAACAGTCTCTTGCAGATCAAAAGACATTCTAACCCTAAAACTTTGGTCTGAAGAGTCTCTTTCCACCTTATGTCATATATGGTTTAAATTAGAGTTACCATACATTTCAGTTGTAAATTGTGCTTCTGTATGCATGGTGCAGGCTTTTTCATGTAGCTATTATTTTCTCTTAATTGGACATGTCATACTTTATTTGGTGATATGCTTTAAACAAGCATATACTATATTTTATCTTCCTTTCGTTTTTATTGAGTTGTAGTTTCTATTCATTTATACGAGTCATGACTAGTCAATTCCTTAAAGACTCCTTGCAATTCTTCAGCATAGAAATAAGAACTTGAAATGATAACATTCAGAGGTTATTTGTATGTTCTCAATCTCAAAAGAATAAATGGCCTTGTTCACTTGAGTGACGTGTGCTTGATGTTCTTTTCTTATACAATTGTTTATGGCTCTGGTCAAGATGATATCATCAGGAGTTTGCTAAGCAGGCTGGATATCATTTGTGATAAAGTGGATGAAAATGTATGGCCAAATGACGATGTAATTAAGGAAACAAGAAATGACTCATTGTCTGAAAAGCCGGTTTCCCAACTTGTTTTACACTCCTTGAGGTGCATTAGCATTGTTGATAAGTCTTTATTTTATCAAAAGAACCTAACTCTAATTAGAATACTTATTTACTATCATTCAATTTATTATTTTCTCTTTTATATATCAATCAATTTGAGGAGTGATACTTTCTTTTGCTTAGATCTTTGATGTAGGCTTTCTTATTTACAATACATTATTATCATCATGGTTTCATGCTAAAAAAATTAAATGAATACAAATTAAACATAAATACTTATAAAAATAAAATAAACAAATACAAATAAAATCCTATTCATTCAAACTTAATTTATTTACCCCAATAATTATGTATCAAAATTTTTATACATCATCTTCGTTTTTACTATTTACGCTTAAAAATCTCGATTTTTACTCCAAAAACTAATCTCAACGGTGTCAGTTCAAAATTTTGGTTTTTGCTATAGCTTCTATTGTTAAATAGGGCATCATCTTTACCCTACAAATAGTCTAAATAATTTGGAAATAAGTCAAATTTCAGACAGACTTACAATAATTCGGACATAGCCGAATTAGCAATCTCAGGACCAATATCTTAGAATAATTCGAACATGACCGAATTAGCAACCACTTAAAATTGTTTTAGAATTCTCTTTAGATACAGGTAAGCTATTTCACTTGTCCTTTGTGTATCATCTAAAAGAAATTAACGGTCTAGTATGTTCAAAGTTTGGCCTCTGTCGGTTTTTGTATGTTCGGAGAGAAATTACAGGTTGGGAAACATGAATTATTGGGTTGCTTGATTTTCGTAATCAAGAGTTAAGTACAAATCAGATTAGGACTGAATATTAATAATTTTATTAAAATATTAGCAGAGATAACGATGAAAGACGGTGAAATATAAAATTATAGAAAATATGATTTTAGTTTTATATTTTCTCACTTATTTGAATTATGCTTTTGTAATATAAATTCATGAGATAAATAATAATGATAAAGTATGCAGAATTAAATATAAATATAAAAGATAAATAAATAAATTATTGTATATAGAAGATATAATAAATATTATATCTTAGATAACAAAAATAATTTACATCTTTTTACTATTATGAATATCTATGAAGAATTTTCACAGTGTAAACATTTAGTTAAATGTTGATGTAAAATTTTAATATATTTTTACATAGATTATGTAAAATTTAATATTAATTATAATTAAAATAATACATTATATATTTAAATACTCAAGTAATATATTATCAACAAATAGAATTTTTATATAAATAATTTTTATTTAAATATTTATAATTTCACTTGTTAAAAAATATGGAACAAAGACAATTTGGTAAAATATACATTCTAGTAATCTTTTATTCTTTCAACCAAACATTGTAATCTTACATTCCTGCCAAACCAACCAAACACAGTAATGTAACATTCCCAGTAATCTATTCTGGTAATCTTTTATTCCCACTGATAATCTTACATTTCGTGAATCAAACTGTCGCGATCGTCTTTCGGGTGGGCCCAGAATTGTGCTTCGACTTAGGAAAATAGATTAGGAGTCGCCACCGACCATTTTAAAACTAATTTAGTTCGGTCAAACACCATCTTACCTGATCTGCGTTTTACCAGAAATATGTCAGATCTGAGAGTCGCTACGGTCAAGGAAGGATTAGCACCCTTGAATCGCCCTTTCGATACCAATTAATTTGCCGGTTGTCTTTAATTACGAAAATTATAATTTAAATTTAAGACATTTGATTCGAATTACTTACCTTTTGATCAATTGTAAAGTGAAAAATGTTAGGTAAAAAAAACTTAATTGAATAAAAGAAAAGACAAAGACTAAATTATAATGTTTTAAATAGAAGAGAAAATAAAATGGGTACATGCCGGAAAGAGAAATTAACAGAGTGAAAAATAAAAGTAAATAAAATAAGAACAAATCACACCTACTGGTAACACAAAATAATTAAAAACATAAACAAGAAAGGTCTATTAGATTAAAAAGAAACGTTAATTGCAAGATTAAATAACCGAAGTCAAAATAAAAAATTACTAGGATTAAAACAGAAATAAATAATAAAGAAATACAAAAATGACTAGTAAAAATATGAAAAATAAATAAAAGCAACCAAAAAAAAAGAAATAAAAAGCTAATTAGATTTTAAAAAATGAAAATAAATAAAAAAACAAAGAAAACATAATAGAAAAATATATGATTAAGAAAAGGAAAAAATAATAAAATAAGAATAAAATATAATAACTTAATACATCACCACCATCATAACACACATTTCCATGATATTCTACTTGTCCATCTATTTTCAATTCCACGAAATGTAGTGCAGTGTTTAAATATTAAAAAAATAACTTACTTTTTCAATTGAGGCTTTAAGTTCCATAAACCAAGATTTACAATGGAAGTTGCAGCAACAAAGATTGGTTATGTTTCTCGGTAGAGAGAACCAAAACGAAACAGCGCCACTGTTTCCTTCGTTCCAGTTGAGATCAGCCAAGCAGAAAAGCTTCAACCCATTTTGTTCCAGAATTTGGAGAT